CGTTAAAGTTCATTGGTAAAACCGATGAAGTTAGATCCCAGTCTGGGGAGATATTAGTTTAGAATTTTCTTAATTGAAATTCTTTTTTTTAATTAGTATATTGTTCATGTATTATTATAATAATATCTTATTGAGATGTATCTAAGAAAAGCAAGGGAATGTTATCTTTTTTTGTTAATGAAAATTATTATTAAAGTAGGTTAGTTGTTAATAGATATATCAGTCAAGTTAGTTATCTGTGATGTTGTATTGTTCTTGGTATCTGATTTAAGTAAGAAGTGGTATATATCGCTTAGATTCTTAATGTCACTCTTAACATTGATGGAAAAATCGTTAAGGAAAATATAAGACATTTAAATGAACTCTCTTTTAGATTTATTGTTCTCACGGTGGAGAATTGTAGTGTTCGTATAGTCCATGTGATGACCAGTGGAATGGACATGTTTGGCTAATGCAGAGCGGTCAGGGTGAAGTCGAGAATCACTTTTGTGTAGTGTAATACGTGATTTCAATAATTGAGATGTTTGGCCGATGTAGGAATTGTTGCAAGAGAGGCATGGAATGTTGTAAACAATATTACTAAGCCTATCTATGGGAGTCTTATCTTTTATCTTCGAATAAAGATTATTAATTGTTAGGGCTGATCTACAAGTCACATTAAGTTTAATGTTATTATTATTATTCGAAAAGCTATTTTCAAAACTTTTTAGAATCCTTGTTAACCCCGGAGTGATATCTCTGAAATAAGGTAATGAAAAATATTTATTGATAGGAGTATCCGAGACTGGGTTCCTACTTAAGACATCAGGATCAGCATTGTTAGTCACGATGGAAGGTGAAGTATCTTCGTTATGGATAGTGTTAAACAAAATCTTATTTACTAATGGTGTTGGATAAGAGTTTGAAATAAAAAGTTTCAGAAGGATTTGTAGGTTTTTTGTATGAAATGATGGATCGGATAGTTTAATTACTCTATTTTTCATCTGTTTGATTAAGTTGACTTTGGTAGAGTTATTATGGTAAGAGTGGTAGTTAAGGTATCTACCAGAATGTGTCGGTTTTTGATACCAATCTATTTTAATGTTGTTGATTTCCCTAATCATCCTTATGTCGAGAAAGGGGACGGAACAATTACCATCTTCCCTCTCTATAGTGAACTGGATGTAGGGGTCATAACTATTAAAGGTGTCTAATAGTTCATTTACCTTGTCATTGGGTATAGCCAAAATTATATCATCAACATATTTTTTAATAAATGGAATTTGAAAGGACAGTAAAGGAATGACTGAGTCTAACACATAATCCATAACGTAAGTTGAATGATAGGAGAAATCTTTGCTCCCATAGGGGTACCGAAAGTTTGTTGATAGAATTAACCATTATAAGATATATATATATATATATATATATATATATATATATATATATATATATATATATAATATACTTAAAATTTTTAAATTACGTTCTACAATTTACTTCTATGTACCTACTAAAATAAACCCTATTACTAAACAAATCTCGTACAATATTTGATCAAAATTTCAGCAATCACTAAAAGGTTTATACTCTGACCCTTACCCAGACACCCTTTATCGAATCACATATAATTCAAGCACTAAAATGTCAACCGAAGCATCAGAGTAGACAGAAAAAGTAGAGTTGACCTTATGGGTACAGCGGGCAACAAACGAGGTTATTTGGCTGATAGAGGGCGCCGTTAATCTCGGGACACTATTTGTTAAGATACATTGCACAGATAAGAAAATATTAGCCGGGATGCTCAGGGGGAAATCATTTAGACAAAGTGTTTAGTAAAAATATACTAGATATTTATGTAGGTAACGAAAAATATTATATCATTACTAGAATGATACAGGAATCCCATTCCTGGATAAAAAAAATATCTAATTTAAAACTCATAAAAAAATAAGTTTATGTTAAACATTAAAGAAAATGTTAAACATTATGCTGGCAACATAATTTACAGAGGTGTGTTGTGTTCGTATTGATAGGGAGGCTTCATCTGGGATAACCTGAAAACTTGAAACAGGGCTGGTTTAGTAACTCAGACCAAGTCTTAAATATGTAGGTACTTTGTATAACGTTTAGTTTTTTAAGAATATGATTACTTGCAGTTAAGCAGCATATTTCACTATAATCCAGTTTACTTCATCTTGTGCACAAGATGAAGAAGATCTCAGTTTTATGTTCAGAAAACTAGAAGAAGAATATAAAAACAACGGAATTGAAATAAACTTAGAGAAAACCGAATACCTAACAACAGAAAACAAGGATATGAGAAATCTAGAGATAGACGAGGGAAGACAAGTAAATGGAACAGATAAATTCAAGTATTTAGGAACCATAATATCGAACCAGGGAACAACAGAAGAAGATATAAACAACAGACTAAGACAAACAAGAAACTGTATAAGACAACTAAATTCAGTGCTGTGGGATAAGAATATTACGATAAAGACAAAAAAGAGAATATATAATATCCTGACAAGAAGTATCCTGACATATGGGTCCGAAAACTGGACAATAAACAAGAGAAATAGAGGTAGAATAAGAGCAGTAGAAATGGAGTTCCTGAGGAGAAGCTGTAGACTTACAAAAAGAGACAGAATTGAAAACGCAGAGATTAAGCGGAGAATGGGAGTGCAATCAGACATAATCGACTATATAGAGGAGAAGAGACTATCCTGGTACGGCTACGTCAGAAGAGCGGACAGAGGACGCTGGATAAACAAAATTACAGAATGGAGAGCGATCGGAAGAAGAAAGAGAGGAAGACCCCGAAGGTCATTCAGGGACGAAATCGACGAGGCTATGGAGAAAAGAACCCTTCGAGATGGAGACTGGAATGACAGGGAAAATTGGAGAACACGGTTGAGTGAAGGAAGACAGTGAAAACTGTGGAAATCCTTAGTAGTAGTAATCCAGTTTACTGTGGATTAATGATTGGTATATATACAGTAATTTTATAGGGTCTGCTTTCCAAGATCGGTTAAACAGGTGCCTAGACAAAAACAACAAAGTCTATGTAGATGCAATTATTTTTGTTCTAGTGCCGTCTCCACTAATGAAGGTCGGCTATAACTATTGCAAATTCGAGATTCTTAGCATCCCTCGACCATTAAAGGTCCGCCGCGCACTAGGGGCTATGTGATTGACCGTACCCTGCATGATAATTGTACCAGGAAAGTCTGACGATAATTAATGTAGTGGTTTCTTGTTTCCTTTTACATCCTTATGAAGTTGAACACTAATAGGTTCATCCGCCTTTGCAGTAAATTTCTTAACTTCAGGACAAAAAAGTGGCCTAACACTTACGAACTCACCCGACCGATGCCGTTGGTCAGTTAGTGGGCGATTGCTAATACCGGCAATCACTCGATGAAATCAAGCCTACAGGATTTTTTTTATTTTTCCCACAGCCTTAATCCAGTAATGACATTACTGCTGCCTAATACTTGGCTAAGCCTTATTTGTACCTGTCCTGCATGTTTGCAGAAATTTTCCCTATCAGCCATCGGGACGCGCCGTGTCGGAGTTGAGAACTTCCCCGCCTAGACTGTCTTACGCAAAGTACTGAAGTGCTCCTACTTAATTCAAAGCCCCTTTTTCACGCAAGTTGAGACCGGCCACGGTTGTCAAGTTTAGATGTAATAGAAACAAGAATTTGTTCGTCTTAATAAAATTACTGTTTGCTGATAAACAAAACATTTAGTTCTACCTATTCCTAGTTGATTTTAATCAAAAATAGAAACACAATAACTTGTATTACAGCAGTCCAGAATATCGAAGTAAATAACAGACAATTTCTACAATTTACCTGAATTTTATTGTGAACCAACTCGTTTTATATTCACCGATAAATATAAACATTTCTGAATTCCCAGATCGACATTCAGTGCAACAGGTGACTAGACAAACACATCAAAGTCTATTTTGATGCAATAACAACAAGAATTTGTTCATCTAAATATAATTACTGTTTGCTAATAAACAAAACGTCTAGTTCTACTTAATTCTAGTTGATTTTAATTAAAAATAAAAATACAATAACTTTACAGCAGTCTAGTTTTGTGAAAAAAAGCTACAAGAAAAGTTAAGTTTCGCATTGATTTTATATACATCTTATAATAGGTACCATATAATGTTGTGTACTTTGATAAAGATTATAAAACTATTACCAAGCTTACGTAAAAATAAAACAAAACAAAAACGATAGACACTCCATTTAAAAGTTGTCTAAATTCATTTCAACTTTAAACAACTTGAAATTTTGCTAAACTTGATTGAAAAACTTAAGATATCTTGAAGGATTTTCAATCTAAATGCAAATGCCTATGAAGTGATACCACTTAGGCAAACAATTCGACAACAGAGAACTTAGTCACCTCGGTAAAGAGATTAGAAAGGCCGTCTTGAGATACAACATCCGATAGATATCTTTTTTGTTTTAATTGAATTGTTTTAAAAGGAGTATATCCACTGGCGGGCACAGAATTTCCATTACCATGGAAATTTAGCCAGGAATATTGAATGGCAGACAGTTTGGACTGATTTGCGGCAAGCTTTATAGAGACAACCGAAAAAAATAAATCAAGACGATTTCGAGCTCAATGTGAATTATTTTGAATTATATTGAATTATAAAGATAATGAAGACAGTAATAAAGCGGATAAAAGTGATTTGGAGTCAAAATTAATTTTGTCATAAATAAGGTTAGACGGACAACTCTTTTTCATTTGTGAATTCATGATATAGTTATATATTTTGTAAGGTTAATAACTCTAACAGTTAAATGAGAAAACACCTTGAGGTTATTGTGATCTCATTTATATTCGCCGAAATTTAGATTTATTCCAAGATGTACATATTCACCAATCAATGCCAAATTTAACATCTATAAACTTTCTGTAATATTTTTCTCCATAAAAGACCTGCGTCTATAAAAGTGCTGTATTGACTAATATCAACAATAGCAACAAAATGATAACACTAATAGATGCTGTTTGTTTCAGCCATTAAAGCGTCACTACTAATCCAGAAATGGTACAGAAGATATATGGCTCGATTGGAAGTCAGACGAAGATACACTTGGACTATATTCCAAACGTTGGAATACGCTGGTGAACAAGATCAAGTTAAGGTAAGCATTGTTTCATTTATTAAATTCATTCATATTAGAAGTCAACTTCGACATAAAACATAAATTACAGACCAAAGTTTTACTAGTTATTTTTGAATAGATTAATGTTATTTTACTTTCTAAATTTTTAAAGATTTAAATTTTAAAACCTCTTTAACTTTAACTGTAAATTTAGAAAATTTTTCTCAAAAAGTACAGTTTAACTTGTACTTCAGCATATTTTCAGGAACATATTGATAATATGGGATATCTTTGGTTTCAAGAAAATCCATTTTAGTATCTTGATAAAGTATCCTTCCTACTAAGTTATATTCAGCTGCTACAAATGCCTGGCAGCACATTCAATATCAGAAAGATATTGGATGGATGGAAAGGTGATTTAGGCGCATTTCTGGTTGTTTCAGTTTAAGCAAGGACGTATCGTCACTGAGCAAATTGCACGATGTAAAAACATTAGGCACACTTTTAAAAATAAGTTCTTAAATTAGCAATCTGGGTTTTGAACTGCTCTATTTTAATATTTATGATAAGTAATATTTCGTTGTATCCTAGATTTTTTGAATTAACAAAATATAGCCATGTGTTTGTTGGAGATATCGCTTTTTATAAAAAAAGATGGGAGATATTAACTTTTGTCAAACTAACAATATCTTAGAAATAAAAAATATTAAACGGTACCCACTAAAATAAAAAAAATTAAGGAGAACAAAAAATTTAGAAGTGAACATATTTTGGCTCATCCTCCAAGAAATCACATTCGCCATCATGGTAGTTGTGGGTTTCTGGATCTGGATCACTAGTAACTTTGTGTTGAAGAGCATTAATATATCAATGAAGATCAGGGATCTCTTTCCAATTTTGTCCAAAGTGGGTTTGCAATATATGAAGGACATTTTTTTCTCTTGTCACGGAATGAGATATGATTTGGGAAAGAGTCTGAAGAAAATCATTTTTATTTTTTTTACCACGTTTCTAAAACTCATTTCAAGGCTTTTAATATCGTATATCACCCAGTCTTGTACCAGTTTCTGTACAGAGCCAAGCTCTTCGTTTCTTCGCTCGAGATGATGGTATCAGTTTTTTCAAGCGCTTCTCCACACGGCCTAAAGCTCGATCAGCTGGAAGAAAACTGTGGCCACGAGTCGAAAAGATAACATGAATTTTCTGTATATTCTCTGGAGCCTCATGTTTAAGCCAATGGCAAAAAAACATTAACAATATGAGCATTTTTATTTTGGCCAGCGCAATCATCACAAAACAACGATACTACAGAAAAATACGAAAGATCTTGGCGTCTTAAAACGCCACTGGAAAAAAAGTACTGATAATCTCAGACAGCGTGGCATGGCGTGGCTATGCTACATACTGTCAGTGCGACCCGTGAGTAGTTTTAGAACTACTATGACGAATATATTTTGCTTCACGAAACAACATCTAGTTCTAGAGGATGCTTCTAACCTAACCTAACCTAACCAAACCAGAGTAGTAGAGGGATAGTTCTGCAGGCCGGAGTATTTATGCAGTTTTGTAAAACAAAAACTAATTTTAATGGTTAGCTAAAGAAGGAGTTGTTAAGTTTTGTATAAAAAAAAGTGAACACGGGGTAAAGATTTTTGAGTGGATTAACTAAGTTTTGTGGCAGAAACGTGATTGTTAGGCTTATTTTAAATGGGAAATGTTAACTTTTAACACATGAGACTTATAGACAAGATCTTAGGCAGACCAAACTCTCAACTTCTTTCAACAAAAAATGTATTTTAGCCGGAAAAATGGATTTATGCAGTTTTGTAAAAAAGCTCTTAATATATATATATATATATTATATATATATATATATATATATATATATATATATATATATATATATATTCTCTCTAATTTTCTTAACCATCGTACATCGTTTAGCGTTACTTGTCAATAACAGATTAATTGCCGATAACCTTGATGAACTAATTGCCGAACTGCTTTTTACTCGAACATTGTAAATTACTTGTTTGATACAAAAACATTGTTTCTAGCACAACTGCCATTTAACAATACATTAAACGGGAAATAGGGATGAAACCATGCGTAACATGACAGGAATCTAGTAATCGATCATGTTTAAAATCCGTATTTTCGTTTATAGTAATGGATGTAGGGTGATTTACAACATAACCTATATAGCAGTCACGTTGATTTACGGACAGATTCGAAGAGTTCGGTCGCTACTTTGTCTGATTATGTTAAACATATATTTATGTAGGTCATGGCCTATGTATATGAAAAGTGCAAACTTTAGAGAGGCCACTCCAATGACTAGTATCCGGGTACATTGTACCCGAATAAACGGGTATAAACATATATATATATATATATATATATATATATATATATATATATATATATATATACATATATATATATATGAAGGGATGCTCTTTTGCTGGTAAGACTAAACCATCAATATCTACGGTAAATGCCCAACTGATAGTGACGAATATGTTGCAGCTGATCTAAAAATCAGCCGGTTGTGCCAACAATTCATTTAAATGAATAAGAAAATCTGATTTTAAATTAACCCAAGAAATACTGGTTTTTTAATATTTTAATGATTTTTAATAACGACAAAATGTCAAACGGCACTGAGGTCTCAATTTGCCTAGTCTAGCATAGCAGGATTTGTTGTATTTATATGTAAGACGATACTAGTACGTCACGAGTGAGGGAAGTAGACAGACTGACACTCCGAACTCGAAAGAAATCGTATCACTCTTGAAAATGGCTCCAAAATGGGCGCCGAAACGTCGAGTAATAAATTCTCAATGCAGTTCTTCCCGAGAACTATAGAAGAGATGCGTTAAATTATTGATAAAATAAAAAATATATAACTTATCTTTGTTTCTCTCTTTAAAGGATTATAGTAACCCAAAAATAGTTGAAGAAATTTTTAAAAATTTCTAAAGAGTTTACCTAGCCCCACGGTGTTGCCTGACCAGCTGAACGGCTGTGTTGGCTAGCCTCTCTCAAATTCTAGTGAATTTATCCTTATATACGATCCTCAACCAATTTTATTTTAAAGTTAACTTGTTACCTATTTCTGTGTTAAGCGTAAAACCTCAAAAATGTGTTTCATATTTGCCATATTTCAGGTATTTTGGATTCCAATCAACATTGATTTAGAAGATGTGCCATTCTATTTGTAATAAGAATATACTCGGGTGGCTTTTCTATTCTTTAATATTGTGATCATCTCTATAAGTTCTTGAATTATTATATGGCCAATTCCATATGAAGATCGGTCTTTTAAATACTCTGTATGTAATTTTAAAATGTAATTTCTAGGGTCATACCAAATTCTCATTGTTTTGCAGCAACCGTTATTCGTTTTTTATTCTTGTTACGTTCCAAATTTAAAGTAGAAAGTCCCACCTCTATTTTATCAAAATTCAAATAAGTCAAGACGTGTAAGAGCGGTTGCCTATAATATATTATAAGCAAGTTGGCGAAAATAAAATTATTAATTTTCAAATAGGGATAATGTCTGGCAAATTGTGCTGAACTTAAGGGAAAACGTCCTGTTTTTTAAGAAACTTATTTAGATCGTTCTTTTTAGAGTCATCTTGGAAGAATTGAAATCATAAAATTGAAATGTTTGAATCTCGGTATTATTCGGTGACCTCCGTGTGTCAAGTCGAGTGCTCGGAAAGACGACGGAAAGGGACTGATTCTTGGTCTGACAGTGTTACTGATAGGTTGGGCTAGATTAAAAAACGGAATTTTGGTTTTTGCTGCTGTTCCATGTGGGATCTGAAGTAGTCCGAACCGTGTGGATATTCAAGGGGATTTGCTGCCTTCGTGGAAGGGTTTTTTTGGAAAATCCACAATTTTGCTAAAGAAAAGCGGATCTACAGTACACGTGAATACCGGGAGTCGCATTTAGAACAAGAAATTAGCCTTAATCACGAGTCCAAATAGCCGACTACGTTTCGGTCCAATTTGGGATATTTCAAACCCCTAATCTGGCTAAGAACGGTTTTGCTGTTTTGCTGTTTTGCTCTTTTGCTGTTTTGCTGTTTTGATGTTTTGCTGTTTTGCTGTTTGCTGTTTTGTTGGTTTGTTTGGTTTTTTTCCTGCTTCTTTTTCTTCTTATTTTTCCGTCTGGCTGTAATTTTCAACTTCGCAACATTGTCACACAAGTCTATGTACATCGGCAATCGTATGGGGATTTTGGATTGGAGACACACTGAACTGTAACTGGATTTCCACGCGGTGAAGTATATGAAAATTCAAGGTATGGATCGATAATTAATTTTTAACGGAAGATTTAAGCGCCGTCTAATTTGTTTACGGAATACAATAGTTTTTTTAAAGATTACTTGCTGTTAGTTTTTATTTTAATATTTACAAATACTTTACAGTTTTTTTTAAGATTATTTGCGGTTTATTTTATAAGTTAAATATTTACACATACCTATTTTGTTTTTGTAAACTGCGTCTAGGGGGGGTTATATACTTGAGATTTATTTTTTTATATTATTCCCTGCGCACGCACTTGAGCTCACGTGGTGTCTTATTTGCGTTAATTATTTTTTTTTAATCGGTATTGAACCGCACACCCCTTAGCGTCCGGTACTTTTGATATGTCTTACCTTTTATTTTGTTCTGTTAAATAGAAATAACTTATGAATTTTTGTTAGGCAAGTAGAAGCCGCATTTTTATATTATTTCTTTATTACGCCTATGGTAAAGTTAAATAATATTGTAATATGTATTTATTTTCAACTATCTTGGGAATCTATTTATTAAAATTGACTAAATTCTAATCTGACAATTTTATTTATTTTTTTTATGTATTCAGGTTGTATATTGTTACTTAGTATTTTAGTAGTAGACCTATTGCTACGTTGGTGGTTTATTGCATAGTAACGTAGGGAAGGCTGTGGGCCAATTTACCTGGCGCCCCTGATATAACTTCGATTTTTTTTTGTTTTGTGGACCGCACGACCATCTCCACTGTT